TCGCTGCGCAACAACGAAGCGCTGTGTCGCTCTCTGTGCTTTCTGCGTAAAAGAGTCCATAAATGATGTAATATAGGTAGAAAACTTTTTTCCGGCTCCCCTGGATGTATAGGATATCCAGCTCCCCCATAATTCGATCCCTGCTCCTGGATGAAAAGCCGGACATTTTCATCAATATAAGAACCCGCAGTCCGGACGTCCCGGACAGAGAGTGAAAAGTGGACACGGTCCATCTCCTTTCCTTTTTGTATTGTTTTCTCTCTGTAAACATGCTGTTAACTTGCTTTGCACATCTAATTGAAATCTGTCTTTTATCATATATATATTATTTTTCATAAGCTTGCGTTTGGTGCCCCTTCCCCAGCGTGGTGCCCTACGCGCTGTGCGTGGTGTGCGTGTGCGGAGCGCCGGCGCTGTCTGGACTGTTGCTTGTTGAGGAGCTGCTTCCCAAGGTGCTTTAGGCTCTGGCATCGGATGGTAACTTTTCAATGTTGGTGTAGCAGTCGGAGCCAGGTTGAGCAGGTGGGTGCAGGACGCAGTCATGGTCCTCTGGACAGCACCTCAGGTGCAGCACTCACTAACAATTATTTCTTTTGTCTTACTTACATCGGGACTTGGCAAACCACTAACAAAGCGGGGCAGCTCTCTATAAATCTTTGCAGCACGCATGTTCGATTCTGAGTCAAGTTTGCGGGAGTCTGTGGGTTCGTGTTCTGCATCAAGAGGTGTGTACGTTATTTCTGTTGATTTTGTCAACATCACGAGTAGAGACTGATGTGTTTTCTCCTTCATGAGCCAGAGGTTTTATCACCCTGGGACTTGGAACCACAAGTCCAGCAGCGATGTCGTTTCCCATCAGGAGAACGATGCCTCTACTGGTTGTGAGCGACATACAGCAATGTTAAAACACGATGACAGATCACAGCAAGTATGGGGAGAGTGTTCCTTTTGAGTATAATTATATGTGTGTGTGTGTGTGTAATATACAAACATTAAAACTGAGTCATAAATTAATTTAGCAAAGCATTAAAAATAAAATTATGAATGGCGGGTGATGTTGGTCCCATCAGAGAATGCCAGGCCTTTCATTTCTCATGTTTCAAGG